TCCCGTCCCACCCTACCTCTGTGGGAGGGTATTCCCTTTTGTTCTTGCTCTCATTTTGGGTGTTGTGGTTTGCAAAAGAGGCATTGAGTGGCAATCATGTTTGGTCTTTAGTCTGCTTTTAGCATGCTTCTCCCATCCTGGGAGGATCCTCCCAACATCCTTTATTTGGTGCTCCTTTCTCTATCTGAGCTCCCTTTTCCCCTATAGTGTGTGGCTGGCCTTCAAGCCATGGAGCAAAACTCCTGGTACTAATCTCGGCCACTCTTGGGTGTTAGTCTCCTATTTCGTTATTTTATGTTCCCCAGATGAATGCAATCCTTCTATGTTTATCCCTCTCTTTCTGACTCATTTCGCTTAACATGATACTTTCCATGTAGTGCCACTTGTATGTAAATTTCATGACTTCATCTTTTCTAACAGCTACATAGTACTCCATTGTGTAGATGTACCAAAGTTTCTTAAACCAGTCATCTGTTCTTGGGCACTCAGGTTTTTTCCAGATTCTGGCTATTGTAAAGAGTGCTGCTATGAACAAACAAGTGCAGATGTCACTCCGACTATACTTTTTAGCCTCTCTGGGATATATTCCCAGGAGTGGTATTGCTGGGTCAAATGGGAGCTCGATTTCTAGTTTTTTGAGAATCGTCCATAAAAAATATGGAACGCTTCACAAATTTGCGTGTCATCCTTGTGCAGGGGCCATGCTAATCTTTGTATTGTTCTAATTTTAGTATATGTGCTGCTGAAGCGAGCACTTTAGTTGTTTTTTTTATCCCCCCCCTTTTTTTTTTTTCTTTTTTGAGTCACACCTGGCGATGCACAGGGGTTACTCCTGGCTCATGCATTCAGGAAATTACTCCTGGCAGTGCTCGGGGGACCATATGGGATGCTGGGAATTGAACCTGGGTCAGCTGTGTGCAAGGCAAACGCCCTGCCCACTGTGCTATCGCTTCAGCCCCCGCCCCCCCCCCCCTTTCCTTTATCTTGACTTTTGCCACTTACATTGAACTGAACATTTTGACTGATATCGCAGGACAGGGTACTGTGTCCCCACCCCTTTTCAGGATAGGTTGTTTTGCAGGTTTAGTTCAGTGATTCCACTTATTTCTCCTGCTGTTACCTCTGATGCTGGCCTTAGAGTCTCGACCCTGAGAGCCATCTTGCCCAGGAGCCTGGCTGGCAGCGGATTGTGACTCTGCATCTTCCAGCTGAGTACCCAGCTATCAACTTCCATTCACGGCACCCAAGACTGCTGATGCTCTCCTGCTTTTGGCCACCCTGAGATACCCTAATTGATCTACACTTTCTTTTTGTGTCACACCTGGCAGTGCTCAGGGCTTACTCCTGGCTCTGTGCCCAGGAGTCACTCCTGGTAGGGTTCAGGGAACCATTTGCAGTGACAGGGATCAAACCCAGTTCGGCCGCATACAAGGCTAGTGCCCTACCAGCTGTATTATCTCCCCGGCCTCTGGTAAAGCTTTGATATGGATGCATTCAGTTATTGATTAGAGGAAGAGGTCACCATGTTATTTGAAGATGTGGTTTGGGATGTCCTTTAGATAGAAAGTAAGTTCATCTTACATTGAAATGCATCCAAGTATACCAGAGATTTAAATGTGAATGACAAAACTATTAAAATCCTAAATAGAGGAAACATTTTAATTATAACCTTGAAAAGGGGGAGGACTAAAAATATAGAACCCGGAAACCAGGACACCAATGAAAACAGATTTAAAAATGAAAGGGTTTTTTTTGCATAGCAAAAAATAAGCAAAGCCAAAAGATAAACAGCCAGAAAGTTATTGTATTTGACACCACAGAGAGCTTTCTTACATTATAACTTACAAAGAAATCAATTTAACAAAAAACTAAGAAAAATGTGCAGTGGATTTAAACACTTAGAGGAAAAGCACCCCCCAGCATCCACTCCCCAAAATAAAAACTCCTGAAAAATATTTCCCCTTGTTTAAGGAAAATTTAAAGCTAGGATAAGCCATTTCTCCTCTCTGAGACTGACAGAGATCTAAGAGTTGGTAAGATTCTGTTGGGAGATTGGGGAAACGGGACACCTGGTGACTGCTGAAATATAAACCGCAATTTAGCACCATTCACCAGTCAGGCATCAGTGTTACCCTAGGACTTTTCAACCTAGGCAGTGCTGCCATTTTGAATCAGATAATTCTTTGGGGGCTGGGAGCTGTACAGTACATTGCTTAGAAGTATCATTGGCCTCCAGCTGCTAGATACTGGTAATCCTCCCCAAGTTGTGACAATCAAAAAAGTTTCTAAGCCGGAGACATACTATATATAGCAGGTAGGGTCTTTGTTTTGTGTGCGGTCAACCTGAGTTTGATCCCTCATACTCTATATGATCCCGCAAGCCCTGCCAACGGTTATTCCTGAGTGCAGAGCCAGGATTAAGTCTTGAGCACAGCAGGTATAGCCCAAAAGTTTTTTGTTTGTTTGTTTTTGTTTGTAGGGGCTGGTAAAGTAGTGCAGTGGGTGTAAGACACTTACCTTGCACACAACCAGCCTGGGTTTGATCCCTTACTCTGCTGGAGTCTGACCCAAATTCCCCCTCAAAAAACAAACAAAAAGTTCCTAGACTTTGCCACAAGTCTCCTCGGTGACAGCCCACGGTGAGAGCCACTACTTTAAAACAAGCCCATTCATTTTTAGTAGTTCAGCCCGCCAGTGTACTTGCCTATTCATGATCTGATGTATTTTCAGATTAATTATCACAGAAGCATTGGTGTAACAGCGAGAGATTGGAAAGCTGTGACTATTTCTGAGAATGTTACATTAATTATGGTCCCTACATGCAATGAAAAACTATGCAGTTGTTAAAAATGAGAGATAGCACAGCGGGTAGGGCATTTGCCTTGCACGCGGCCAACCTGGGTTCGATTCCCAGCATCCCATATGGTCCCCTGAGCACCGCCAGGGGTAATTCCTGAGTGCAGAGCCAGGAGTAACCCCTGTGCATTGCCGGGTGTGACCCAAAAAGCAAAAAAAAAAAAAAAAAGAGTAATTTTTCTGTGTGGATAAGAATATGCAAGATAATTGGTAGCAATGAATAAGGTGCTTGCCTTGCATGTGTCCAACCTGAGTCTGATCCCCAGCAACCACACATGATCTGTGTGGTGTCAGGAATAAGCCCAAGCACCACCAGAGCTTATTCCTGACATTGTGCATCAGACTGTACTAGGGAGGACGGTCGGATGGGATCGCTGTACTTTTAGGCATTTGAATTGTGTTGCTGACTCAAACAGTTGTTAAATTAACAGGAAAACATTGACCCCCCCAAATCAGTTCCACTTTACTATAGTTTAAAGATGAAAAAGGCAGGCGTTGGGGCTGGAGCAATAGCACAGCAGGTAGGGCGTTTGCCTTGCACGCGGCCAACCTGAGTTCAATTCCCAGCATCCCATATGGTTCCCTGAGCACCGCCAGGAGTAATTCCTGAGTGCAGAGCCAGGAGTAACCCCTGTGCATTGCCGGGTGTGACCCAAAAAGAGGAATAAAAAAGAAAAAAGAAAAAGACAGGCGTTCCTCTAAAAATATTGAATAACCAAATGATCCATCAATTCTTTTTCTAGGAACATAGCCCCCACAGTGAAAATGTGAATTCAAACAGGTATTTGTGTGCCCACGTTTGTAGCAGCCTTGGCAAAAGCTAAAAGGCAGAAGCGGCCAAGAGCTGGTTGGATACTGGATAAGCAAACTGTGGAGTAGTTCTCAAGAGGAGCATTATTCAGCCACGAGGAGGAAATGTGGACGCTTGAATGAACATTATGTTTGACATTATGCTAAGTGGAACCTTGGCATCACACTAAGTCAGTCACTGAAGGACAAATAGCTCGTGGTCCCACTTTCCTGAGTTTCCTAGAGGAGTTAGTTCCTAGAGACAGAGTAGAATGTGGTCCCAGGGCTAGGGGGTGGAGGGCCAGTGGGTGGTCAGAGGCCCGAGGATATTTGGTTGTCTGTTTCAGGGTTATGAGTTTCATTGTAGGGAAATGGAAAATTCTTAGAGGTATATTCTTTATGGAACACTTTATGGTGGTATATTCTTTAATGGGACACTTAAAAATGGTTCAAATAGTCCAGAGAAAGCAGGTATGGTGCTTGCTGAGCTAGGTTCAGTCTTCAGCAAACCATATGGTTCCCAGCAGGAGTAATTCCTACTTGCAGGGCCTGAAGTAACTCCTGAGCAACTCTGAGTGTGGCCCAAGAACTCAAAACAACACCCCTCTACACACACATCCCAAAAAAATCGTTCAAATAGAAACTTTATTATGTCTCATTCCCATCTCAAACTGACTTAGTTCATCCCCCACTCTACTCCACCCCCCAAAAATCCAGGAAAGTGAACTGAGAAAGATTCAATTAAAGAATACTTGAATATACCCCCCCCCCAAAAAAAAGCAGATTCTAAAATATCAAAACAAGTAAAACATGTTTCCTAATGAAGGATGGGAGGAAGAAAGGAAAAGATAAAAGACAATTTTTGGCTAGACTTAGTGTTTCTGGACTGGATGAAAATCTCAGGTCTAGTAAAGAATCAGATTCTTGGGGCTGGAGAGATAATACAGCCAGTAGGGTGCTTGCCTTGCATGCGGTTAACCCAGGTTCTATCAATCCCCAGCACTGCATATGGTCCCTGAGCACTGCCGGGAGTGATCCCTGAACACAGAGCCAGGAGTAAGCCCAGAATACGGGTGTGGCCTGGAAAAAAAAATGAAATGAACAAACAAAAATCAGAACCTGTGATTTGCCACCTCCCCCAACCCTTTGCGAATTTAAACCGTTTTTATCTTGCGGATCAATAGATCCTGGGCCTGCATCACGCCAAGTAGGAGCTCGCGGGAGCCACAGCCTGGTCCGTCAGCATTACTTTTAGAAATTCTGGTGGGAACTGAGGCCAGATGTGAGGCCCCTGAGACCTAGTCAGCCGGAAGTGCTAGGGGAGTCCCGGGTGCAAATGGGTCTTTCCCGACCAGGGCCGGGCCAAAGCTGAGACCATAAACAAGAAACTCCGGAAGCAGCTGGCGGAGTTCCGGGCACCACCCGTGATGATGTATGTGCAAGAGAAGATCCGGAACGGGGACCTGGAGAAGACCATCAAGATGTGGGAGAGGAAAGTGGAGATCGCAGAGGTAGGTCCCCGAGGGTCCCTGGCCCTGCATCCTTCCTGCCTTCCACCGTTGTCTGAGACAAATCATCTCAGCAACTGCTTCTACTCAGACCAAAATGAAGGTGGATTTTTTTTACCCCCTTTTCTTATTTTTTGGGTGGGGAAGGGGTGCATATCAGGTGATGCTCAGGGCTTTCTCCTGGCGCTGCACTCAGGTGCTCAGGGGACCATATGGGGATGCTGGGCATCGAACCCGGGTTGGCTGCTTGACAGACAAGCGCCCTCCCCCTCCCCTCTGTTTTCTCTCTCCGTTCCCCGCCCCCCCCCCCTTTTCAAACTCTCTTTTCACAGTTTTTTAGAACCGTGTCTGCATCATCCCGGCCCAACTACTTGTATTCTTGTTTGGTTTTGGTTTGGAGCCACAGCTGATGATGCACAGGGCTTACTCCAGGCTCTGTGCTCAGGGGTCACTCCTGGCAGGCTCGGGGGACAGGGCAGCAGGGATGGAACCTGCGTTAGATCGAACCCTACCTGCCATGCTATCCCCTCTGACCCCCTGTATTCTTAACAAATCCTACCAGTTTCTGAATCCTCCCCTCCTCCACCCCACCCCTCCCTCCCATGTGAAGAATTTGCTACTTCATACATGGAGAAGCCAGATTTTCTTTTAAAATAATCTTTTGTGTGTGTTTTTTTAATAGTACTCAGAGCCCCATTTCATGCATTTACATAGTAGCCGTGGGTCTTCTGCGTGACTCACGTCACAGCCTTTCCATAGGGTAGTGTGTACAGAGCAGGGGCCAGACGCAGGAGGGAAGTGGGGGTAGTGGTGGTTCCGGGGCGTTGGGGTGAGGCGAGCGTGGAGCTGGTGGCAGAGCGGGGGGCACGTCCATCCTCCTGAGAGTAGCTTCAAAGCCAGGTTGGGTCACGTGGAGAGTTTGGCCATTTCCCAGGAAGACCAGAAGTCTTGTGTCCAGCCTTTCCTGAGGTCACCCGGTGGCCGGCAGTAAACTCAGATCCAAATGCAGGGTGGGCCCCCCGGCTGGTCCCTCTGGCAGAGAGCAACGGAGAGAGCCACAACGGGGAGGAAGGAGCAAGTCCCACTTGGAGGGCTGGAAATGAGTCCTTCGAAGTCTTGCAGCCACTGTTGTCCTGGGGGCAGGGGGCGGTGAGCGGGGTGGGGTGGCTCTGCATACTGGGGGTGGCAGTGTCCGCTCAGGCCCACCGGGGCTGCGTGTGGGCTGCGTCGTGACTCACCGCCATCCATTTCTCCCGGGTGACTTTCTCCCTGCTCACCCCCTCTTCTCTCCCTCCCCCCGCTTTTTATTTTTTCCCCCCACAGCTGTCCTTGAAAGGCTACCGCAAAGTTTGGAATCAAATGAAAACAGCCAATGAATACTTGCAGGTGGCCAGCTCGCTGGGAAACAGCCCGAGGGAGGTCAGCGAGGACTCCCTCAAAGTCATCCATTAAAGCACTCTCTGCTCCTCTCTAGTCCCGGTGGTCTTCTCTGCTCCGTGCCTGCTGACATCCATCCCCAACTCTCCAGCCGGGCTGATAGTCACTTCCCCGGGGCCCCAGCAGGCCCCTGGCACCATTAACGGGGAAAGAACCACAGGCCGCTCTCACGGTTTGGGCACTGGCCAGCCCACGTTTAGTTCGGAAGCACAAATCCAAGTGGCCTTGGGACCCGTGGGAGGAGGCCCGGAGGAGGGAGCGCCGGACCCAGCCCGGCCTGGCCTATCCCGGGTGCGCAGCAATCGAAAAGTAGATACTGAAAATAGCCCGGCAAGTGCCCGGCGCTCGGTGCTCTGAGCTGCCCCGTCTGCTGCCTGGAGAGTGAGTACCTAGACGCCAGCGCCGAAGAAAAGGAGCCCGGAGCAGAGCAGAAGCAGCTCTGGGCGCCGGTGCAGCTGACCACGGCTCAAGGGGGACCACCGCCCCCCCTCCACCCCCCCATAGTAGTCATAGTACATGGGTTGGATGCCGGACTTGAAACCCTTATCCCTGTCCTGGATACTCCTGATGGAGTCGTTGGCTGGCCAGGACGGCTGGGTGACGCTTTTCAGATTCTGGGGGTACGTTTGGGACCCGATCATCCGGGACAGCCCAGACAATTTCTTCCGGGCCGCAGGGGTGCGTGAGGAGAAGCTGGGGGAAGGCACGAAATTGTCCCACTGGTGGAAAGATGTCAGGGCGGAGGCTGTCCCCTTGGTCTTGGCCTCGATCCAGGCGCCGTAATTGTCGATCCTGGTGTAGAGGAAGAGGCCGGGACACTTCTCGCCGCCGGGGGACAGCAACCCTTTGAGCACCCACAGGTTCACCTGCTGCATCTGGCACATCATGGGGTTTCCCGGATCGCCCTGGGACAAAGGACAGAGGGACTTCAGGTCTGAGGAACGTGCCCTGGTGTCCGGCCCCAGTTACACCGGAAACGGGGTAGAGGCCACAGGGAACTGCCGTGGCTCTGAGCTGCCGACACCAGATCCCAATAAGACGGCTTTTCCTGCTCAGGCGGGCAGAGGCACCCTCTGGCAGAGGGTGGCCCTGGGTTCCATCCCCACCACCTCTCCCCACCTACTCCCCACAACTTCCGATTTTATGCAAATTCTTTGCAGGCCTCTGCCCTTTGCCTGGGCCTCCTTGCCTCCCATTTCCTTTTCCTGCCTCTTTTTCATCCTCTGTAGTGTCTATTCATCTTGGTGTTGAGGCTTCTTTCCTTTCTGACTGAGAATGTTCATGGTTCCCTTCCCATCCTTTTATTTATTTATTTATTTATTTATTTTGCTTTTTGGGTCACACCTGGTGATGCACAGGGGTTACTCCTGGCTCTGCACTCAGGAATTACTCCTGGCGGTGCTCGGGGGAACATATGGGATGCTGGGAATCGAACCCGGGTCAGCTGCGTGCAAGGCAAATGCCCTACCCGCTGTGCTATCGCTCCAGCCCCCAATCATTTTATTTAAGGAGTCCCTCTCAGCTCCCCCCATATCCATTGCCTGGTCCTGGTAGGTTAGAGACAAACGTCTGGGGGTGTGGTGCCCTGCCAGGTGAGATCCATCCCTACTCCACCCAAAAAGCTACCTGTGGGCACACCTGCTGTCAGCCCCTGCCTGTGCTCCCAGCCTGCCCTGGGCCCGTGCCAGCAGGCTGCTGGGGCTGGGGGACGCCACCATACTCACTTGGGCACAACTGGGCATGATGGGCCTTGTCTCCTAATTCTCTCCAAGCTCAAGCGAGGCCAGCCCATGCCTGGAACACATGTGGGAGCTCCTAGTACAGTGCCTGGCATGGTGTGGGCACTTCACGGAGGCTTAGCCACCCTGGCCCTGCTGTCCATAGAGGCCAGTGTCTTCTGGGGACAGTTGAGCAGGCTGGGCACCAAGACCACTGCTGAGTAGAACTCGCTTCACTGCGTCCTCCCCCCATCCTGTGGTCTGCCCTCTTGGTCCCCCTCCCCAAGGCTGCCCAGCTGCGGCCCTTCCAACCCATGTGAGCTGCCTGGCTGAAGAGGGCTGACCAGTTCATGCCACTCTCCCCCAGGGATGCAGTGCAGAGCGGGAAGTGGATGGCCACAGGAAACCGTCAGAGAGGCCAGTAGCAGAGCTAAGAATGGCTGCCCAACCAAATAAAGGGTGTTGGGAGAATCCTCCCAAGATGGGAGATCCGTGCTGAGGGTGGACTGTGGATCGAACATGATTGCCACTCAATGCCTCTGTTGCAAACCACAGCACCCAAAAGGAGAGAGAGAACAAAAGGGAATGCCCTGTCACAGAGGCAGGGTGGAATGGGGGTATGGGCGGGTGGGAGGGATACTGGGACCCGTGGTGGTGGAAAATGGGCACTGGTGAAGGGATGGATACTCCCTCACTGTATAACTGAAACCCAAGCACAAAAACTTGTAAGTCTACAACTGTACCTCATGGTGTTTCACTAATAAAAATTAAAAAAAAAAAAGAGTGGCTGCCCAGAGCCCACCCATCCCCAGGCCCCTGTGCTGAGTCATTCTTGGGTTTTATTTGGGGGGGATGAGGTTGGGGCACATTCGGCAGCCTTAGGGCTTACTCCAGGCTCTGTGCTCAGGGATCACTTGGTACTCGGTGCCAGGGATTGAACTGGGGCTGGCCACATGCAAGGAAAGCCCCTTGCTTGCCCCGTGTGCTGCGCTCTCTGACCCCACTCTTGGGGTTTTGTACGCATGCACGCAGCACCAGAAGGGCCATGTTCCCACGTAGGCCAAGGGAGAAGTGGCGTTTTCCTGGACGCCCCCTGAACGTCCCTGGTTTCGCCATCTCTTACATGTTCTTTCCCTGTAGCCACACAGCAAAGGGTGGAGATTTCGTGGCAGAACTCTGATCATTCCGGGGCTGGTGAGCAGGCGTTCACCTACCCCCAGTCCACCTGCCTGCCAGATAGGCTCTCTGGCCAAGGATGGCGAGGGGCCCCCTCCTTCCACGGGGTCCATTGCCAGTTTGTTCTAACTGGGGTATTAGAGCTGGAGGAAGAAAAGAACAGCAGTGGACGGTGGCTGGTCTGCGGGTCTGCAGTGGCCATGGGCTCTGAATGCGGGGAGTGGACTGTGATGCACGGCATCCCGGAGCAAGAGTGTGGGGTGACCCACAGAGCATCCTCCCCACCCCCAATCCCCGCTTTGTGCAGTGAGAGTCCCGACTTCTGTGGAGAGCAAAAACGGGAGGAGGATGAGGTCAGGGGATTCTGGGCACCCCCGAGGTAGTGGACGAAGCTGGGTGATTTATTTGACATGTGACAAGTGTGGCTTCGAGGGCCCCGGATACCTAGGAAGCCATTTCTGAGAGAGAAAGAAGCCCAAGGAGACCTGGTATTTGCCTGAGACACTTGGTGAGCACAGCTCTGTTCAAAAAGCAAGAATGTCTGCAGGGCTGCTCCAGTTAAGGACCAGTCGGGCTTGAGAAATAGGACAGGGTAAGGCTAGTAAACCCTGCACACAGCTGCCCCGGGTCCAATCCACGGCACCCCATAGGATTCCCTGAGCACCACCAGTAGTGATCCCTGAGCACAGAGGCAGGAGTCAATTCCAGCTTACTCCCTGCCCACCCCAAAGAAAACACCCTGGTCCAAAACTTGTGTGTGGATTTAAAGGAGTGACATTAAAGTGGATGAGCAGGGGGCTGGAGCCATAGCACAGTGGGAAGGACGGATGCCTTGCACGCAGCCAAACCCGGTTCAATTCTCAGCATCCCACATGGTCCCCTGAGCACTGCGAGGGGTAATTCCTGAGTGCAGAGCCAGGAGTAAGCCCTGAGCATCGCTGGGTGTGACCCAAAAGAAAAAAAAAAGTGAATGAGCAATGCACTATAGCCAATGCAGCCTGAAAGGTCTTGGAAACAGGATGTGCTTGTTTATCCCGTGACAGCAGAGTCAAATTGGTAGCATTTCCCTGCCCCTCATCTCGTTATTACTTAAAATAGTGTCACCTTCTGCTACAGACAGCACCCGACACTGGGTCAGGCATGGCACTCAGGGCTGGGACTTATAAGATAGTGGGGTCCCGTCCTGTGCTCGAACACCTTGTCTGCTTTAAGAGTTAACATTGTTGGACCAGAGCGAAAGTATAGCGGGGAGGGTGTTTGCCTTGCACGCGGCCGACCTGGGTTTGATCCCTGGCGTCCCATAGGGTCCCCCCAGCATTGCCAAGAGCAACTCCTGAGTGCAGAGCCAGGAATAACCCCTGAGCATCACTGGGTATGACCCAAAAAGTAAAATAAATAAATAAAATTTTTAAATAAAAGAGTTAACTTTGTTGAGGTTTCTACCCGGCAGCAAGCCCAGGAACGAGCAGGCACTCCTTGAACGCTGAGTCAACTTTGGAAGGACAATCGCCTTACGAAAGACAATCTGTTGTCATTTTGCAATAAAATGACTTTGGGAAATGAATGTTTGTGTATATGTTCTCCCCCTTTTTCTATAAAAAAAATCCCTTGTTGTAGGGGGGAGAGGGCAGTGCCATCAAGAAATCCTGAAGATTCAAGGAAATGGCTTCTTAGAAACACAATTTTAGGGTCTGGGCAAACGCTTTGCAGTCTTGGCCCCTGTGACTCCCCAGAGCACCCTGAGGAGTAGTGCCTGAGCACCGGGCTGGGTGTGGTCCCTGAGCACCACAGGGGATTGATCCCCAAATGGTAAAAATAAATAAGGACCATTTTTGGGGGCTGGAGCAATAGCACAGCGGGTAGGGTGTTTGCCTTGCACGCGGTCAACCCAAGTTCGATTCCCATCATCCCATATGGTCCCCCAAGCACTGCCAGGAGTAATTTCTAAGTGCAGAGCCAGGAGTAACCCCTGTGCATTGCAAGGTGTGACCCAAAAAGCAAAAAAGAAAAAAAAAGGACCATTTTATAATAGAGGAAAAAGCTGCCTGGAGATTGGGGTGATCTGCATTCTGGTCTTGAACATTCCCTGATGGCGTGAGCAGGTATGAGTGGTCATATCTGGGGCTGACGTGGACCGTGTCTGTAACTTGTCCACGTTTTCCTGAGGGGCTCCTCTGAACAGCCCTCATCCAAGCTGGGGCCAGGGCTGCCCACACCAATGGAAATCAGCAAGGTGCTGCCATGGTAACGGGTGAGAGTTGCCATCTGAGTCTGGGTTCCAGGAGCCCAGCCCGTGGACAAGCTCTGCACACGTGGCCATGCGCCGGTCACCTAGCAAGGCCTGCTGGTCACCTAGTGAGGCCTGCTGCCTGCTCGTGGGCCGAGCCCGCCCCATGGACTGCCAGAAGCACTCGCGATGGGCCACGCACTGCTTATGGGGGTGTCCTCTCAGAGCCCACCATCCAGATCCCCGCGCTCCCCATCGGCCCTTAGCTTTGACGTTGTCGTGTTCTTACCAAGCAGACGGAATTGGTTTCACGCTCGATGTGGTTGCCACATCTCAGCTTCCGGGAATGATTTAAGGGACACGGCTCCATGTCCCTCACGGTGATTTTCCTCAGGATGCTCATCGTCATGTGATTTCCTGTCTGGACCATGCAACAGAGAGGCCAAGAATTATTAACGAGAAGATGAAATGTCCCCCACTCCAGCCCCACCCCGCACCCCGTTTCCAGCCAATTCAATCGTAGCTCAGGCTTCTCTGGGAGGGAGCAGCAGATGTGCTGGGAAACTCCTTTTCCTCACAGAAATCAGATCCTGCATTTGAGTTTTCACTAAAAACCACCTTTGCTTTGGGCTTCGGCGCCAACCCGGCAGGTGCTATGGGTGGGTGTGATACTCGTCACCAAGTGCTCAGGGAAAACCATGCGGTGCTGGGAATGGAACTCAGGGTTGCCACATGCAGAGCAAATTCTTTACCATCGAGTCACATCCCTGGCCCCAATCTCTGCTTTGAACTGGACCCTGAAAACCGGCAGAGAACATCTCCCTCCCTCCACATCCATAAAGACTCTGTTTGCTAGTTTATTTCTCAAGACCCAGAGAAAATGAGGGCTTAGTCCTTCGCCTCTAGCTGAGGGGACCCAGATCTCGCATGCTGCCCCCCTGCCACAGACCCCCCAACCGGGGTTCAGGACCGGAAGATGGAGAGGACCCAAGGGAAGAATGACCAAGTGATGAGATTACTGAATCTTGGCATGGTGGGGGTGGGGATGGGATGGGGGGCGCTTCAGCCCAGCCTCTGCCCTAGCCAGGTTCGTCCAGGTGGGCTTCCCAGCCCACCCGCCAGGAGGAGAAGGGAGTCATTAACTGCAGTCGTGGGGTTCCATCCTGCCACCCAGCAGTTCCGCAGGCGAGGCGAGTCGGCCGTCCCTTTGTTGAGGAAGCAGATGGGGCGGATGAGGTTGGTGAACGCCATGGCCGTGTCTGTCTTCAGGAGGGCGATGTTGTTGTCCATCGTGCTGTTATCGAAGTCCTCGTGGGTGACGATGAAGCTCACGGGAAACTCCTCGTGCGAAACCTCTTTGGAATCCATGCGGGCAATGCCCACAATGGCCACGGCCTCCTTCCTGGAGAGGGCCCGGGGCAGCGTGAGCGGGCAGGTGGGAGAAGGCCCTGGCCTGCTGCTCTCGGCTTCCCAGACACGCACCTGGGTCCTCTTTCCTTGCCCTGCTGTCACTCACCCCTGAGAACCCAGTCCCCAGGAGACCCCTGACCCATCCCTGAGGACCCTGTCCCCAGGAGACCCCTGACCCACCCCTGAGGACCCCGTTCCCAGGAGACCCCTGACCTCACCCCTAAGGACCCAGTCCCAAGAGACCCCTGACCCCACCCCTTAGGATCCCGTTCCCAGGAGACCCCTGACCCACCCCTGAGGACCCCGTTCCCAGGAGACCCCTGACCTCACCCCTAAGGACCCAGTCCCAAGAGACCCCTGACCCCACCCCTTAGGACCCCGTTCCCAGGAGACCCCTGACCCACCCACCTCTGAGGACCCAGTCCCAGGAGACCCCTGACCCACCCACCCCTGAGGACCCAGTCCCAGGAGACCCCTGACCCACCCACCCCCTGAGGACCCAGTCCCAAGAGACCCCTGACCCCACCCCTTAGGACCCCGTTCCCAGGAGACCCCTGACCCACCCACCCCTGAGGACCCGTTCCCAGGAGACCCCTGACCCACCCACCTCTGAGGACCCAGTCCCAGGAGACCCCTGACCCACCCACCCCTGAGGACCCAGTCCCAGGAGACCCCTGACCCACCCACCCCCTGAGGACCCAGTCCCAAGAGACCCCTGACCCTACCCCTTAGGACCCCGTTCCCAGGAGACCCCTGACCCACCCACCCCTGAGGACCCGTTCCCAGGAGACCCCTGACCCACCCACCCCTGAGGACCCAGTCCCAGGAGACCGCTGACCCACCCACCCCTGAGGACCCAGTCCCAGGAGACCCCTGACCCACCCACCCCCTGAGGACCCAGTCCCAGGAGACCCCTGACCCACCCACCCCTGAGGACCCAGTCCCAGGAGACCCCTGACCCACCCACCCCTGAGGACCCAGTCCCAGGAGACCCCTGACCCACCCACCCCTGAGGACCCAGTCCCAGGAGACCCCTGATCCACCCACCCTGGAGGACCCAGTCCCAGGAGACCCCTGACCCACTCACCCCTGAGGACCCAGTCCCAGGAGACCCCTGACCCACCCACCCCCTTAGGACCCAGTCCCAGGAGACTCCTGACCCCACCATGGAGGACCTCGTCCCCAGGAAATCTCTGACCCCACACCATGGGGTGCTCCTAGTTTTGTTTGTTTGGGAGCCAGGTCCATCTGTGCTCAGGCTTACTCCTAGCTCTGCACTCAGGGATGGCTCCTGGCAGGCGGGGGGGGGGGGGGTGGGGGGGGCAGACGGGGTGCGGGGAGTGAACCCGAGTTGGCTGCATGCAAGGCAAACCCTACCCACTGGACTACTTTATTTATTTATTTATTTTGCTTTTTGGGTCACACCTGGCGATGCACAGGGGTTCCTCCTGGCTCATGCACTCAGGAATTGCTCCTGGCGGTGCTCGGGGGACCGTATGGGATGTTGGGAATCGAACCTGGGTCGGCTGCGTGCAAGGTAAACACCCTACCCACTGTGCTATCCCTCCAGCCGCTGGACTACTTTAATGCCATTTTTCCCACTCTCTCCTAGCCCTCACCAAGAGAATCTGTGTTAACTTGCTGTTATTGATTATTAGTTTTATTTGTGTAGAGTTGCGGTTTTGTTTTTTTTTTTACTTTGGGGGCCACACCCAGCTGTGTAGCGCTTCCTTTTCCTGGCTCTGCACCCAGGGATCACTTCCATCGGCTCGGGGAACCCTTTGGGATGCCGGGATCAAAGCAGGTGGGCCACTTGCTGTCCTCCCTGCTGTATTATTGCCCCAGCCCTCTGCAGAATTGTTTTTGCCTTTTGTTGTTTCAGTCACAAGGGCGGTTCCTACCTGGCAGAGGCAGGACTTGAACCCAGGACCTCACACTCGCCAGACCTGTGCTCTACCACTGAGTGACCTTTGCAACTCCTAGGCACAGTTGTATTTTTGTTTGTTTGGTGATGGTGGTGGGGGGTGGTCTCCGGGTGCTCAGGAGACTCCGGGCCCTGCCGTGGATCTCAGCCATTGGCCTTGAGAGCCCGAGGATGCGCCATGGCTTGGACCTGTGGGAAGTACCAGAACCAGCCAGTGGTGCTCGAATCTCCAGGGCCTCCTCGGTATGCCCAGGGGACCAGGCGGTGCTGGGGACTGAGCCGGTCAGCAGCCTGAAAGCCTTAATTTCTACATACTCCCTCTCTTCCTCCTTCCCCCTCTTTATTTTAGTTTGGGTTTGTTTTTCTTTCTTACATAGTTATAATAATATCTAAAGATTGGGACCAGAGTGCTAGTACAGTGGGCATGGCATTTGTCTTCTATGTAGCTGACCTGGATTTGATCCCCAGCATTCCATGTGGTCCCTGGAGCACCACCAGAAGTAATTCCTGAGTGCAGAGCCAGGAAGAACCCCTGAGCACAGCTGGGCATGGCCCCCGAACCAAATAAAATAATAATAAAACCCAAAGATATCATCATGACTTTTGATTTTTGACGCTTAGCCTTTTCGGGGGGTCCTTGGCTGCACACTGTAGGGCGCTGAAGGAAACCTCCAGCCCTTCAACCCTAATAGTTTGTTCTGTTTGGGGGTCACACTCGACTCTTCTCTGGGGTGACTCCTGGCTTCGAGCTGAGGATTCACTCCTAGTGGTGGTGAGGGACCAGAGATGATGCCGGAGACTGAACCCCAGTTGGCCCTGTGCAAGCAAGGCGAGCGCCCTCTCCACTGTATTATCGCTCTGGTCCCTTAAGCCTTCACATTTTCTCTCAAATATCTCTTCAGACTATTGTGGAAAGAGAGAGAGAGGGCCCCTCGGGAGGAAATGAAGAGCACATGCGAGCCCAAGGGAGGGCCCTGACCCAGGAAGCCTGGGGTCCTATCAGGAGACCGTGGACATGTGTGCACACATGGAAGATGCACGGGCAGGCATCGGCTCAGCCCCGAGGGGCCAATCTCGGGGGACCACTGCTGCTAACAACCTGATCTGCATGGCAGCTTTGGGACAGTGAGAAGCACAGCTCTGCTGTCTGAGCGGCAGCTCTGGGGTATGCAGCCCTAGGACACCGGCATGCAGTGTGTGTGTGTGTGTGTGTGTGTGTGTGTGTGTGTGTGTCTAAGGAAGGGAGCCTAGAAGCAGATACAAGAGCCAACACAAGGGGCCAAAGCGATATAGTACAGTGGGGAGGGCATTTGCCTTGCCCACAACAGACCCAGGTTCGATCCCCGGTACCCCATATGGTCCCCCAGTACCTCCAGAAGTAAGTTCGGAGTGCAGAGCAAGAAATAACCTTCAAGCATTGCCAGGTATGGCCCCCAAACAAACAGACAAAATACCTCAAGACCAATAGGCCAAGAGGGGTGAAGGTGTCCATCCATGTGACATTGAGTGCCTAAGGAAGAAAAACCAAGAAACAGCTGCCGCACTGGGCTGGAGGGAAGGGCGCAAGTGAACGAAGGAAGGTATAGTTTGGTTTGATTTGGTTTGGAAGGGGAGTGGGGGGTCATACCTTGCAGTGTTCAGGGTTTGACCCTTGCTCGGTGCTCGGACTTATTCTTGGAGTTATTATCACTCCGGCTTCCAAAGTACAGCTTTTTGCTGTCTACCCTTTTCTCCTCATTAAACTATGCACATGTATTTTCTTTTCTTTCTTTTCTTCTTTTCGGGTCGCGCCCGGCAATGCACAGTGGTTACTCCTGGCTCTGCACTCAGGAATTACTTCTGGCGGTGCTCGGGGAACCATATGGGATACTAGGAATCGAACCTGGGTCGGCCGCGTGCAAGACAATCGTCCTACCTGCTGTGCTATTGCTCCAGTCCCTGCACATGTATTTTCAATGAAAACCCTAAATCTGGTGTTTGAAACCTCAGTGGCAGAGCTGGGGGAAATACAGTGGCCCAGGTATACATGCCTTGCACTCAGCTGACCCACTGATCACCCATATAGACTCCTCCAAGCCCTACCAGGAGGAAGCCCTGAGCACAGCCAGAAGTGAACCCACAGAAATGTAAGATTTAAAAAATTAAAGACTAAAACAGCAGGGCTGGAGTGATAGTCCAGTGGGGAGGGTGTTTACTTTGCACACGGCTGACCTGGGTTTGATCCCTGGCATCCTATATAGTCCCCTGAGCACCACCGGGAGTGACTCCTGAGTGCAGAGCCAGGAGGAACCCCTAACATCACCAGATGTGACCCCCTCAAAAAAACTAAAACAGTTCAGCAGCAATGGTCAGGATCATGGCTCAAATGGTTGAGCGTGTGTGAGCCAAGCCTAGCATCACAGGCGAGGCCCCTAAAAAGCATGAACAAAATACTCAGCAGCAGAACTGTAGTCTTTGGAGGCACATACGGTCATTCAGCCAGTCATAAAAGTTATGTTCCCCTTGCTCTAAAAGCCCACAGTATACATAATATGTTGGTATATATGTAACACATATAAAACCCAGCTCCTGGAGGAGAACAGCGCAGAGTCTCCTGCCCCCGAGCCTGGCTGTCCTCACCAGGCCCCCTTGGAGGGGGCAGTGTTGAGTTTCTCTCCACCCCCCACCCCCGCCCCGAGCAGAGCCCCAGCAGCTGAGGACCTCCGGAGCCAGCCACGGCCATGCTGGGACCACTCTCCACACGTCCGGATGGGCCTCATGCATAAAAGAACCGGCAGAGGAACCCAGGCATTCGGGTCCCAGGGCTGAGGTCTCCAAGCCTACTCGGATTGGGACTAGGCCTTCTCCAACCAGACCCCCCATCTTCCAGTAGGTAGGCGTCACACCAGCTGCCGCCAGCGCCAGGTTGGTCCCATCAACGGCCAAGATGCAGAGACTATAAAACCCAGCTCCTGGAAGCGACATCTTATTATCTTATTTTTCCTTTGGAGAACCTGGCAGGCTACCAAAAGTATCCTGCCCGCACGGCAGAGTCTGGCAAACTTCCTGTGTTGTACTCAATATGCCAAATACCAGTAACAATGATGGGTCTCATTCTCCTAATCCTGAAAAAGCATTGAAATGGCTCTTTTAAAATCTCAGGGCTCGGAAGAAGGAGACGTTACTGGTGCCTGCTCGAGGAAATCGAAGAACAACAGGGTGATCGTGATCGTGATGTAACACATATGCCGAGTCTTAATATAGCACTTTTTACATTCTCTATGTAACCGCTATAATTTATCAGTGAGACTCGGATACTTCCAATGGGTGTAACCACATCCTGTGGCCAACACGGTGCCTTAAACTCATCCAGTGGCTAAAGTGGTCTCCTTAATGTTGACTCCAAACATGACATCACTGGGTCACTGGTGAGATGTTTAGATACGAGACAATGTACTCCTCTGCTGACATGTACGTTTTTGCCTTGTTTCAAAGAATGGGCACTGATCATAAAACATTTGGAAAATACAAACTCGTTTCGAGAAGAGAAAAGAAGGAGCCTTGGAGATAGCCAGCGAGCTGGAGAGTGTGACCTGCCCATGTGGCCTCTGGCCACCAGGCTGAGTTCTCTGTTATTATTATTGTTATTGGTGTTGTTAATATTATTATTGTTATTATTATTATTTTCATTTGGGGGATACATCCAGTGATGCTCAGGGGCTGTTCCTAGTTCTGCCGTTAGAAGCAGCACCTGATGGTACTTGAAGACCCTTTTGTGGAGCCAGGGATTGAAGAGGGGTCAGCCACAAACAAGGCAAGTACCTTAATCCGTGTTCCATCTCCCGGCCCTGAGGTCTATGTTCTAAGGGAAGGGTCTCCTATAGGTCTGCTTCTTTGCTGGAGAGATGGTACAGTGGGTAGGGCACTTGACTTACACATTTCTGACCCAGACTTGATCCGTGCCCTGAATATGGTCCGCTGAGCCCCTCCAGGAGAGATCCCTGAGCATAACTGATTGTGGCCCCCCGAAACCCCCAAACCGAATCAAAGCCCAAGGAAGAAGAGATGAGGAGCGGGCTGTCTGTGAGAGGAGCCAGTGACTCTGGGGCTGCAGTTATGGGGACAGTCACTGTTTGCAGCCCCCCCACCCCCCTTGTGCAGAGCCCAGCCCAGCCCACTCCCGCCCCAGCAAGGGGGAATGCTGGGAGCAGCGTGGGTCCCCAGTAGAACCTCTGTTCCCAGGATGAGCAGAAACCTGAGCCCTGGTCGCTTGCCCTGGGCCGGGGCAGGGGGCTATGTGGGCCCCCAAGGCAGTGGGTACTGGCCTGTCCTGAAAGGCAGAGGCGATGCTGAGGATCCAGAACTCGCTGAGGATGCAGCCGAAAGCCAGGTGGGTGTACTGGGGGTCTTGCAGCGACACCACCCACGGGAACTCCTGGTGGCCCACCAGGCTCTCCTCGGAAGTTTCCAGAATGTTGACATTCTGGATGCCACACTCTGCAGAGGAATGGGGGGGGGGGGGTCACCGCCATAGTCCCAGACCTCAGCCCCCTTCTCCTCCTGGATGCCTCCCCATCTTGGCTGCCCCGTGGTCTTTTTCTTCTCCCAGTCAGTCTCTTCCCCAGAAAAGCTGCTTAGTATGGCAACTCTGGGCCCAGAAATAACAGCAGGTCTGCGGGCCTCAGGCTGGGTGGTCCCGGAACAGTTCAGAGGCGTGGGTGAGTCTCGGAATGCAGACAGGGAGCCCTCCGGCCCCGGCCCAGCTTCCGCAGGCCTCAGTCTTAGTCCCACAAGAACACCAAGTGTTGGCTTCATTGGGGGGGGGGGGGGGGAAGGGGGGGACAGTGGGACTTTCCCGATGCCCCTGGTAGCCTCCTGCTGACTGTGCCCAGGAAGCTGCGGATGGACCCCAGGGTTCTCCATTTCTCCCAGTTTAACTTTCTAATGTGCTAAATCTCAAGAGGTTGTTTCATAAGCAAAAAAGAAACTCTTGAATATCCCAAGTCACCAGAGACTGGGGGAAGCAGGCAGAGAGGATCTCTGTTCTGGGGTCCCGTTGAGTCCAGAGTCCAAGGTCACAAAGTTCTGCATTATCTGGTTTCCGTGGGACTTCATTCACGCGTGAGGCTTGGCCTGAGTGTCCAGAAAGCGGCCTGGAGTGTGGCGGTGGTTGGGCAGTGGAGGTCGGCTGCCGGGGCTGGGTCCCTTGGGGTGGGGAGGGCTCTCACTTGCCCCACAGCCTGGCGCAGAGTCCAGGGATCACACCCATAAGCCACACCCTGCTGGCACCAGATAATCTCCTCATCAGTCACTCTCCATAACTCACAGATGCTCCTCCCGGACGGGAGTATAAAAGGAGGCCCCCCAGAACCATGCCACTGGACTCTGCGTCAGGCTATGGGACAGGTGAGAGTCCTCCCCACCCCAAGGGACTCAGCCCTGGCAGCTGACCTCCACTCCTAATCACCGCCAAGCTCCAGGCCACTTCCTGGACCGCACGGACACATTATAAGAAACTATAGGACATTATAAGACACTTCCTACCCATTTATGCTTCTTGGAGAGTATCCCATCCGCATGGGCAGAGCCTGGCAAGCTCCCCGTGGCATATTCAATATGCCAAATATAGTAACGACAATAGGTCTCATTGCCCTGACCCTGAAAGACCCTCCATGTGCTTAGAGAAGACAAGTAAGAAGAGGCTGCTAAAATCTCAGGGCTGGGAGGAGTAGAGACGTTACTGGTGCCTGCTCGAGTAAATCGAAGATAACGGGAGGACAGTGATACAGTGAGTATCCTGAGTTAATTTGGGGGTCTGCGAGGGTCCTTCCCACCGATGCTCAGGATCCCGAGGTCACTCCTAAAGACTCTTGGCCAGATGGAGCAGACTGGACAGTCTCAGTACCGGGGCCACTGCCAGCTGAGCTCAGGCCGAGAACTGACTGGGGCTTGCCAGGCAGGTGAGTCAGCCCTCTGGACCACCCCGTCTGGCCTCTTAGATATTTTATTTATTTATTTATTTATTTTGCTTTTTGGGTCACACCTAGTGATGCTCAGGGGTTACTCCTGGCTTTGCACTCAGGAATCACTCCTGGCGGTGCTCAGGGGACCATATGGGATGCTGGGAATCGAACCTGGGTGGGCTGTGTGCAAGGCTAAATCTCCACCCACCATGCTATTGCTCCAGCCCCTCAGATATTTCTTTAAGTGTCAAGGAGGCCAGCAAGAGAGCACAGGGATAAGTCACTTGCCTTGCACATGGCCAATCACCGTTTGCCACCCTGTGTGGTCCCTTGAGCACCACCAGGAGAGATCCCTGAATGAAGAGCCAGGAGTAAGCCCTGAGCACTGCTGGGTGTGGCTCCAAAAATAAGAAAAAAAATCCCAAAAGTTAAAAAAAATTTTTTGATGAGTTGAAAGGGGTACTGAGGGAAGATATGTGCTGAAAGTAGACTATGGACCAAACATGATGACCACCGATATTGCAAACCATAATACCCCAAAGGAGAGAGAGAGAGTAAAAGGGAATGTGCCTGCCATAGAGGTGGGGGCCGGGGGGGGGGGGCGGACGCATAATGGGAACATTGATGGGGAAGAACGGGCGGTGGAGGGATGGGAGGTCCATCATTGTATGACTGGAATTAATCACAAAAGTTTGTAAGTCTGTAACTGTACCTCACGGTGATTCATTAAAAAGAAAAATGAAAAAAAAGTGGGTGGGGAAGAAAGTTGCTGATATGAAGAAGCGTTCACAGCATTTGTCCAACAGAACTAGCGTGGACGTGGTCACTGAGGAGGTGGGGTGTCAGAGCTGGGGTCATGGCGCTGGCAGGACCTACGGCCAGCTCCCTCGCTCCCCCTCACCGCTCACCATCCCGTCAGTCCTTAGCTTGGCCCTGTTCATCCTGCCTCCAGCCGTCGTGGATGACACCCACACCGCCAAGGGGCTCAAAGGTCCTGTTTCAAATAAACTGAAATGTGGACTCAAAATTTGTAAGAAGACTAGTCTCTCCCTCTTGGTAATGCATTTTAGTTTGGGTCTTGGGGCCACCCCCAGCAGTGCTTGGGGGCTACTCCCAGCTCGGTGCCTGCTCCTGGTGGCACCGGGCGTGGACCCTGGGTATAGGCTCTGGGCGTGGTCCCCGGACCTCCTGCAGGCAAAGACTTTGGGCTCTCCCGGCCCCTCTCCCTCTAGTAATGAACAGTCCGCGCTGCCAGAGGGCCCGAGGCTTCTCCTTCCACTGCTCACCGGGGACCCGCCCGAACTCCCACTGCGGATGCTGCTGCTTCCTCCCACCATCCTCACTGACCATCCGGTGCCTGTTGCCCTGAGCATCTTCCCTGAACCCCTCTTTGGACAGTTGGAGCTGATGGCCTCCCCCCGTGGTTGCCACTCCTCCTGGCCCTGGTGACGTCCTGAGTGGGGGACAGGAGCACTCACTGGAGCCGCTGGCTTCCCCGGATTGGCTCCCCCGGGCCCCGGTGACATCGGGGTGGGGGGGCAGGGCACTCACTGGCAGAAGTGTGGGAGATGTAGAGCAGGAGCAGGAGCACCCCCTTCGTCGCCGCCATCCCCAGAGAGCACCGCAGCACACACCATGGGCAGCTGCGGAGACAGAGCAGCGACCACAGGCTTCCTCCCCTGACCGACGGTGAATCCATGCGCGCGCACACACACACACACACACACACACACGCACACGCACACCTGCATGCACACATGTACAGAGGCATGCATGCACGCACACAGACGAACACACCCACACAGGTCCAAGGTACGCATGCATGTACAAATACACGCACACGAACACATGTGTGTACTCGCGCATGCACACACATGTGGGCACATGCATGCAGGTACATGTACACGTGCGGACACATACGCATGCACGGACACACAGAGCAGGTGCACATGCACACACACGCTCGCGCGGCAGGTCCAGCCTCCTCCCTGGTCCCTGACAAAGCTTCCAGGCCTGGGGGGAGGGGGCGTAAGGGAGGGGACAGACCTGTCAGTGTCCCTGCGTCTGGGTTCCGTGCAGTAAAGTGGCCCGGAGCCCCGGGGTCCAGCCAGCGCCCCTGGGCTTCCCAGAGTCAGGTCTCAGGAAGAGGGTGGCTTTTGACTCTTGGGGTTCACCTCTGGCCTTAACTCTGTCGCTATAAAAGTCTGCGGGAGGGAAAAGGTGGGATGTGAGGACCAGCTGGCCTGGGTCTGGCTCCTCCTGCTTCTCTGCCCAGGCTGGGGAACTTCTCTGCCCATTTGATCCGAGCCCTAGGGAGGTGGCCTGCCACCAGCCGTCCCAACCTGTGCCCAGGCCTGTCTGTGGCGGGGGCCTGGAGACCTCCTCACGGAGGCGACACCAGTGCTCAGAAGCCCCCAGACAGCGAGAAACTGCCAGGGCTATGCAGCTGTTGAGTGGGGGAGTGGGACTGGGGGCCCAGACACTCCCTGACACTCGTCCTCCTGCCCCCCACCTCCCAGTCCACGCACCGCTGCAGGCCGCCCCGGGCCGCTCCCGTCACCATGTTCCGCTCGGGACACGGGTGTTTCTCGCCATCAGGATGGTTCTCGGGGCTCTCCCATGAGCGGTTCCTGCCGCGGGAAGGCTGCGGGCACTCACTCTGACCCGCATGGCCGGGCGCCACAGTGGAACGCAACGGCCCCCCTGGGAAGAATGTTCCATTGTGGCCTCATGGTTACCGTGGTGTCGCCAAGCAGGTGACCCCGACAGACGGACACGGGGGCTTGGAAGGAACCGTTACGAGGAGGTGCCTGTTTCTTGAATTGGGGGTTCCCCTAAAAGCCAGGCTTGTGCCCGCCTCAATTCACTAACAGCGGGGTACCCTTTCATCCCTTTCATGGGATGACAAAGTCCTAGTCCAGGTACCTGGGCTCTGGCCTCAGCACCCGCCCCGGTGTGCCCGGAGGATGCCCTGCCCTGGGACGGTTCTGCTTTCTCCAGTCTTAACCCCCGGGACATACTCCGAGTGGCTTCCTGGTAGCCCAGTCCCTTTGCTGGAGCCTCGAAGTTGGTTCCAGTGGTGCCTCCACACCGGCTCTGCCAGCTGGACGCAGCCTCCAGCAGCGTTGGCCTCACACACATGCCACGGGACTGACCACAGTGTGTTCAGGTAATGGTGGGACCGGGGACAGCGCTGTTGGGGGGTGGGTGGAGGGATGGGGAGAGAATCGTGGCTGGAGAGAAGACAGCTTCGTCTCCTCCTCTATGCATGGTTCCCCAGAATTCCACGGGCCCTGCTGTCCCCTGTCACCTTCCCACCCCCAGCCAGGAGCGCCATCTGCCCCAACAACAGAAGAGTCAGATTTTGAGCCAGGGGGCTGGCGGGGGGGGGGGGGGGGTAAGAAAAAGGCACCAACCCCCATCACAGGTCTTGGAAGAACTCACAATCATCCTGCCCGAATGAGACAAGGACCAGAACTTTCCAGAGATAAAAAAAAAAAAAAGACTGAGGTGGATGAGATCGCCACACAGCTGAAAAGTGGCCGAGGCAGAACTCAGGGCTAGATTCTTCCAAAGTTGGCATAGTGGACCTTCTGAGCCTGGGCCAGGGGCTGCCCTTGGAGGGGTCGGGTGCAGAAATGGTGACCTGCACACAGCAGGAGCTGCTCTTAAAGACCTGGGGAGCGGGGACAAGGTCTCCGGCATCAGCCCCTCACTCTCGTAAGCCTCTTTAATTTCACCTTGGAAAGAGGCCAGGAATATCATCCGGCAGGAAGTAGACAGGTTTTTCTTGCAGGATCCAGGAAGGACATGTGGGCCTCACATTCCGTTTCCTTTAATGCAGACCATTAAAGAAGAGGACGTATTTATTGCTGGGAATTTTTTTTTTTAATTTGAGGGCTCCACCAAGCAGTGCTGCAGGCTACTCCCAGTTCAGGACTTGGGGGTTGCTCCCAGGGTGGGTTAGGGGACTGGGTGGTGCCACGGATCGAATTCAAATCTCTCACACATAAAGCATGTGCTCATCCCATCAGGCTGTTCACTGTGATGTTTGATGTGGCACAGGTGACTGAGAACAGTGACAGCGATGAAGTGTGGGACATGTTGCTTCTCATCCCGCCACTGTTTTCAGGGCGTCAGAAAATCCGACCACCCCCTAGGAGAGGATTCCCAAATCACTGCAAGTTCTGGAGGCTCCGTGAGTGATTCCGATCTGGCCATTCTGGTTGAAAGAGACTTGAAATTCGTGGAGAGAGGTTCTGCCCTAAGGGTGTTCCTTGAATCCAGAAAACCTAAGTATTTGAAGAATGTCTCAGGGAAGCAGAAGTTCATCCTGGGAGACAGTGCTGGGTGGATTTCTGCTGCACTTGGTTTGCTTTTTCCCTCTAGAAAGTCTTTCTTCTTGTTCTTTGGCAGTTTCAGGAAGTAAGTTTTACAATCCACCACCGGGCTCTCTGACATTTCAAAGTCGCTGGTGCAGTTAAAGCTGCCACCACTGAGTGGTTCTTTCTTTGTGTGTGTGTGTGTGTGTGTGTGTGTGTGTGTGTGTGTGTGTGTACCCGGGGGCTGCACTTCCCACTGGCTTCCTGCTCTTTCCAGGTCGGCTGGATAAGCAGGAAATCAGCAAGCCCCAATATGTCCCAGTCATTGCTCAGCTGGGCAGGGACTTCAACGTTAATGCCATACATGTCCCTCGAAGCCTTAAGAACCAAAATTTTGTGCCGTAATCTCCACCTGGCATTGTCAGTGAAACTCGGTGTTCACTGGAAGCTACCCAGCCCTAACACGAAGCCTCTGATGAAAGGCAAAACTTTCAATCAGGTTTTTGCCATTTAGAGAATGTCTGCTTATTTTATTTATTTATTTATTTATTTTTGCTTTTTTGGGTCACACCCGGGGACGCACAGGGGTCACTCCTGGCTCTGCACTCAGGAATTATCCCTGGCGGTGCTCAGGGGACCATATGGGATGCTGGGAATCGAACCTGGGTTGGCCGCATGCAAGGCAAATGCCCTACCCACTGTGCTATCGCTCCAGCCCCTGTCTGCTTATTTTTTTTTTAAATCAAGATAACCTTTCAGTATCAATATTTCAAACCACAATGCCCAAAAGGAAGGAACGAGAGAGAGAGAGAGAGGAAAGAGTGAGAAAGAGAGAAAAAAGGAGAGAGTGGCTTCCAAAGAGACAGGCAAGAGGTGGAGGGTGGTGGGGTGATGATTGAGGGAGACCGATGCTGGGAAATGTACACTGGAGGAGAGATGGGTTTTGGAATACTGTATGACTGAAATTCAACCATGAACAGCTTTGTAATGCTCTAAAAAAGAAAAAAAGGAAAAAAGAAAAAGAAATGAAACCTAAAAAATATCAAGAATTGTAAATTTCAGAAAACATTATAATATTCTTATTCTCAGGGAGGGAGAAATCCATTCTTTATCAAGAGTTCATTGAACTTTGCCATCTTATTTTAATTTTATTTTCCTTAACATCTTTGTACAGCTTTATTTTCAGATGTCTGTTGGGTTTGCAGGCTTTTCATAAACTAGAGCATCCTTGGAATGTTTTTATCTCCTAGACAGGAACTGAAACAGTATACCCTGTTTACCACATTCTTAATCCCCATGCAAGAATTTTTTGATGCTTTATATCAAAATGAAATGCATTTTATTAGCTGCTTATGCCATGTGTAGCCATGTATAATGGTATAATTTTTCTTAACTAAGACTTTTGATTTATTACCTTGATAAGTAGCATTTAAAATACTTCTATGTGGGCTGGAGCAATTGGTAGGTAGGGCTTTTGCCTTGCAAGTGACCAAACTGGGTTTAATCCCTGGCATCCCACACGGTCCCCTGAGCACCGCCAGGAGTAATTCCTGAGTGCAGAGCCAGGAGTAACCTCTAAGCAATGCTGGGTGTGACCCTTCAAAAAAAAAGCCAACTAAAGAAATAACTTATATGTATCATTAGATCAGTCATATAACCCAAGAAGTAGAATATTACCTCCATGTTCTACCCTTTCTCTTGCTCTTTTTAAAAACAAGCTCATCCACGTGTGTGTATTAAAAACTATATGTTGGATGCATGTGTTAGACTCTGAGAGGTATGGATCCAAGAACAGGAGTGTTGAGTCTGAAGTCACGTTCATTTTGCCTCTCATTTACCTTAATCCCATCATGCTTCTGGTTTCCACTGGTCATTGTTCTCCCCAGCCCTGTGGCTATCAATCTTTGTGTTTGTCAGTTCAATGGCAATAGAAGAAAGAAGAAAGCTCATGACTAATGTGCATTTTTTTAATTACTAAAAAAAAAAAGGCCAAAGGTCTTTCCCTCTGCCTTTGTCTTTGGGCCTTCTACTCTACTGGTTGCACATCTTTTCCTCAGTGAGAGGTAAGAATTCTTATACATTCTATTATTCACTATATGTGCTGTGATTATTTTCTACCAGTTAATGAGCCATACTTTAAATTTCTTTCTGATGTTCTTGGGCCAGAGTGATAGCATAGTGGGTAGGGCATTTGCCTTGCACGCAGCCGACCTGGGTTCAATTCCTCCGCTCCTCTCGGAAAACCTGGGTTTGATTCCTCCACCCCTCTCGGAGAGCCCCGCAAGTT